CTGAAAATGTCCAAACATATATATCTCCCATTTTAAAATATGGTCTTGGGTTATGACCAATTTTGTTTTATTGTAACATAATGACATATGCTTGTTTCTGTACAACTTTATTCCCTAAGTTAGGTTTGCCTGTCCACTTATCCAAACAATAAATAAATTGGTTTTCAGACAGATGAGCCTTATCTGTTGCACAGCCAGGTTGTATCATCATACAAACATTAATACAAGAAGATAAAGGAAAGTGGGAACCCTCACCTAGTGTTGAAAAGACAGGAGAGACCAGACCAGACCAGCTGTTTTCAACAGCTGTGTGAACTTAGATTTGACTTAAGTCAGCTGTGTAACTGCACCTGAACAATGCCTCTGAATATTAGAAAGACATCGGACAAATATATCCAGCATAGTAACTTGGATTATGGAAACTGGCCATAGCTAAACTCTTACAGCTATGAGAAACTTGGTTTTACAAAGCACATCTGAAAGATATACAAATCATAGGACATTATCCATTATTTATAAGTGGCACGTTTACCTCCACGCTCCAGCTAAGCTCTCTGTGAATAATTGTATGTTTGTTTTCACATCATTTATTGTCTTATTGAGACAGTATCCTCCTTCAGTGGCATTACAATAAAACAACAGACCTAGGTATACCTCAGTGGTGGATTCTCCTTTTCTCGAGTTTTGTAATTTATTTATTTCTAATTGATGCTGCAGTGACAGTGCTATCTCCACATTCCTACCATTTTGCCAAATCAAAATGACTCTCATGCTTATTATAGCAGATCCTGCCTTGCTGTGTTTGGAAAACAACTCTGGAATCAACAAAAACCTCGGAGCTCACATGACAACTGCTCCATCATAAATAAAACAGTATCACTGTTGGAATTTTTTATTTTAAGTATTTCTAATCAATGCCAGGCATCTTTAAAGACACTGAATTTGGTCTTCCCTTTTTTAAATCTGTGGCAGCTTAAGAAGAGCTGACAGTGAGATTTCAGCAGCCAATCAAGTGTTAATTATCTTTACTGACTAAATCCACAGTCTGTCTTCCAACCTGTATGAAACTGAACTGCTGTCGTGTAAAACTTAGGGGCATCTGTCCAGACAGATGAAGCCCAGTGTTCTCCTAGCTCTGAAGCAGCTATTGCCTGAACGCTCTTTAGCCATGTATATTCTTCCTCCTACCATCCATTTACATAGATCTTTCATTTTAATTTGACCATTGTCATGTGAGCTTGAAGAGATATACTACTTTTCTTTAAGAGATCAGATCACCTTTTCCATGTGTAAAAGGATCATGAAAAATAAAGAAATGTCATGGGAGTCCTCCTAGGATAAAATACCTCCATGCTCCAAAATTCCGGATCCTTAACTTGCATTTGAAAATTGTTAACTTCCACTGAGTGACTCTAGAATTGCATGCTGCCTTCTGTCACAGTAATTAATGGGTCCCTACACTGCAATGTTTGTGCATTTAGTGATCTGTGAAGTATTAACCTGATAATGACAGCCTGGGATAGCACCACTCAGATACAAACAACTGGTGGGGTACAGCTAGAATCAATACTAGAAGCTGTGTGAAATTTATTTATATTCACAGGTCAATCTCAAATTTGCATGGGCTTACTAAAGCCAGTGTTTCTAAGAAGTTAAACCTAGTAACAAGAGACTCCATAAACATGTCTGTGACAGTGCAAGCATACTTCACTGGTTTAAAAACGGATGTGAAACTACAGCATTAAACCATCAACCAGAGATGCTTCAGGAAGCCCCACCTTTCTCCTGTTGTATGAATGAATAGCTGAGGATAGGGGAGTGCAAGTTTTGTTTTTTTTCTAGAGCTAAATCTGGCTTTCTGTTACTTACATGTGCACAAAGCGTAATTTCAGCACCAATTTCTGCACCACATTCCTGCTTCTTGCAACCTCAATCAACTTTTTCCATTCGCTCTCATTTACCTTGTGTATTAATTCTGCAGCAATCTGATCCAGCTGGAAAGCATTAATTTTACTACTGTCAAATTAGCTTTCTTCATGATCAGTTTTTTGCAGTGGTGAAAATTTGTACTGGCCTGAGTGCGCACATGGTTTCAGCAGAGCAGGGTAGCTAGGTAATGCCTTGTGTTTCCATGGACTTTCTCCACCAGGCTAAGCAACAGAATTCCACCATATTTTGTTTCATCCATTTCCCTGTTTGCCTACATACCTCCTTATTTTAAAGCATGACATCAGTCATGATGATGATTCAGGATGCCATACTAAAAACATAAATAAATAAAATTGAAATGTCTTTTTGCTTTAGCTCAGAGCCTGAGCTCATTATCATCTTCTCTGTATACCACACTCCCCAGTTCATTTCTTTGTAGATGTGCAGTATTAGGCTTCATAGCCAGATGTATCCTCTGTCAGGGGAAAAAAAAATCTGCTTACGCTGCAACCTGTCACCACTTCTCTGATGTGTCCACAAAAGGCACCTGCAGAAATACTGTTAGTCTCTTCAAATCATATGCAATGACATTGTTACTCTCTCTCTGCCTGAAGAAAGTATGAAAAAGCAAAGTGAAAAAAAAAAAAAAACCAAAACATAAAGACAATGATCAATATTGCTATAACAGGCAGAAATTTCATTCTGCCAATCACTGCAGCAATTACGGAGACTCACCTATTACTTTAAGAAAAAAGTAAAGATTTGTAATTCATGCTAATATTTCTTTGCACATAACATGGTATTTTGCTTTTAGACATAGAATTCTCAAAGCAGTTTCTAATGGGAAAATTGATACAGCAATACCAAGTGTCTTATGCAAGGCTACATGTCACTTCAGTGACAAAATAGATAAACACTACTTCCCCATCCCCAAAGCTCTTTTCCTATGCCATTACTTATCTAATATCAATGCACTTTTCTTACCGTAGAGCTTAGTGTGTACAACTACATGAGACACAGTTTACATTCATGTTCACTGTTCACATATAACTAAATCCACAAAACCCTTTTATAAACTGCGTAATTTACATTAAAAGTAGTGACATTCCACAGTTTGATGCCTGATCTTTGAATTCAGCGAATTAAATATCAGCAATTTTTAAAACCAGAGTTTAATTCTACTGTTCCTTCAAGCTCTTGTATAATCACATAGATTTTGTGTGGTTATTTACCTTTATTGGAGCTCTGCTTCTCAGAAGCTAAAACTAGAGTCCAATACACAGACCTAAGTCATTCTGTGTTCAGTGTTTACTTCCATTAATGATTTTTAAAATACTCTAAAAGGTGAATTTTAGCTGGCTGTGAAGCTATTCAATTGCCTAATATTAAAGGCATTTTCAGGAGGGTGATTTCTGTGGTTGAATTGGGAGGGTATGACTCAAAAAAACTGACACTTCAGGTCTGTTGCGCTCCTCAGGGTACAGGTGAGGTGAGGGAGCCTGCAGGACTGGAGCTGTGCTGTTACACCAGAGGGGTCTTTTCCTTTTTAGGATGTAAACAAACAAACACCTTTTACATTTATGTGACTACGGTGATTATGGATGTATTCAATGACAGGTTATATGGGGCTTTCAGCAACCTGATCTAGTAGATGTCCCTGCCCATGGCCACGGGCTTGGACCTAGATGGCCTTTCAAGTCCCTTCCAACCCAAACCACTCTAAGACTCTATGATTTTCATTTAGACTAGATTGCAGAAGTAATAGGATGCAAAGATCCTTACTGTATACCTGTAAAACTAAATGAAGCTCCAACAAGAGCATCTGCACTGTTTTGCATACAGCATGTTTGGATACTAACCCAATTCTGTCATTAACTTCTTATTTTAAGCATAAACGCCTCTCCAGTTTCCCCATCTACCTGCAGCAGGGGCTGCTTCTTGCTCCCTTCACAAGCTGCACCTGGTTTCCGTGCCGGCCCTGGGGCTGGTTTGGGGTTGCTCACCGGCCTTACGGGCGTTACTCTTGAGGCACAGAATCACGACTTCACAACCAGCAAGGTTATACAGTCGGTATGTTTATTCAGCGCTGGGCGCACGGGGGAACAATTTCCTCCAAATGCATACCCACCGGGAGCCAAAAGGGTCTCCCTTTTATTGTATAAAACGTTTCATATTCATTATCTATCCTAATACATATGCATCACTACTCCAAGGACAGGGAGGGAAGATTACAATTAGTTCCGAGAAATCATTAACATCTCCCCCCACCCCAAATTCCTCCCGCCGCGCTTGCGCAGTGCTCCCTGGTGGTCGTGGGCAGGGGTCGTCAGATGAAGGCTCGTAGTCTTCTTCACTATGTTCGCTAGTTGGCTTCGGCGCAAACTCAAGCCTGGGCTAATTTGAAGCTCCTTTGTCTTTATGGCTCAGTGGTTTCAGTTCCCCTCTTATCTCAAGGACAAGAGGTACCAGAGATGGCCCATCCTGCCTTCCTTCCATTCAATCACAAGGGCGTTACAGTCCTTTGATGAGGACCATCAACGGCCCATCTTGCTCTTTCTCATTCCATTGCAAAGGAGTTACCATGCTTTGATGGTTAGAGGCCATCTGGTGAGCATCCCAAGAAGGCGGGGGGACTATCGGGTTAATGTGAGCATCCGCTGAAAAGGGGGGGGCTATTGGGTTAGGGTTTCCTCAGATCACTCTGCCCGGCTCTTCCCGCCGCCGCCACAACACCGAAGCCCTTCTGACCCGCCCGCGCCTCAGGCCGCCATTTTCCCCCCTCTACCACCCGAGCAGTAACACCGCCTCCCCGCCGCCACCAGCCAAGACGTCCGTCCGTCCGTCCGTCCGTCCGTCCCTCCCTCCCTCCCTCCCCGCGCCGCTAGCAGGCACTCGGCCAGCTCGGCCCCCCGCCCGCCCAGCTCCGCGGGCAGCGCCGGCCGCAGGCACCGCCCGCTCCCGCCGGCGAGGGACCGCGCCGCGCCTGCGCGGCAGCGCTGCTGAGGCCGCCGCGGTGAGGGCAGGCGGGCGCATGCGCGGGGCCGGCGGCTGGTACGCAGGTGAGGCGGGCGGGGTGGGGGGGGGGGGGAAGCGGAGGTTCATGCCGCCGGGGGTTGTCGTCGTCCCCCTCCTGCCTGCGGAGGGAAAGAGAGCGGTCTCGCCTCGGAGCTCGCCTGCCCGTAGAGGTGGATCTTTTCGGAACTTCAGACGAGATCCGGAGGGTGCGAAACGGGCCTGGGGCAGGCTGGGAGCGCGGTGGCTCGGCCTCTGGAGGGTCGCCCTGTGGCGCAGCCGCTTCGGTGGGTGGCGGGTGGCTTTTCTGGGAGGGCCATGGGGAGAAAGAAACCTCTCGTCAGCCCCTGAGCATAAGGAGGCAGGGGTGGCTGGTGCTCTGTTTTCCCTGAAAAGCGTGGAGTCACGTTTAGAGCCTCAGACGGCCTTGGCTCCCCCGCTGCCATCGGGGCTGGTCAGCGGCTGGCAGGGGTCGGCCTAGGGAATGAGCCGGGGGAAAAGGAGCGTTACCCTCCTGCCCAGGTGAGGAAATGCACCTGGGCCACCTTACTAGGGACACTCACCTGGGGAAAAAATAATAAAAAAAAAATATTGAAGAAAATCAGATACGTGAAACGAAACTGTTCCAGGGGTCTGACGAATTACAGCTGTGTCGGTGAGGTGGGTGTTGCTGCTCCCGTGATACTGGCGTGGGGCGGGTGGTGCTTCAGGCAGAGCGGCAAGCAAAGCTGAGTTTTGGCCATGTGAGATTTCGTCAAGATAAGTGCGCTTTAGCATTTATAGTTTTCCATCCTGGGTTGGATTTGTTCGTGTTTTTATTTAATGTGTTCCTGTGACTAGCATAACTTTCAGGGAAGAAGGAACTTCCTGTTTTCTTCTGCAGCACCATCAAAATGAGGAAGCTGTGAAGTTGCTGGAAACTACTAGGGAAAATGTTAAGGATTTGAGTCTACACAATATGAAAAATTTTCCATCAGTACATTCTATAAAGTGCTGAGCATTTGACTAATACTGCAACGCCCTGCATGTCACCATGAAGTAAAAGATGTAGTGTGTCAGTTTTCTCACACAAGTTGAATGCTGTGCAGGCTTATCATACTTTTATAATGAGTAAAGGGTATTTGAGGCCTGGCTGACTAACTGTTGTAAAGTGTAGCACTTGGTTATGTAGAAGATGCATGTACTCTCTTTTTGAATGAAGTCTACAATAAAGTCTCAGGTGTAGAAGTCAGGTTGTCTCTTGAAGTCTTATTTGGAAACAAATGAAGGTGAGATAACGAGTGCTTTTCTATTTTTTTTTTCCTATGAAAACTTTAGGTAATATAAGATTTCGTTTATAAAAGAGAGAGGAAGCAGGCATGTCAGCTCTTTGTCCACCACCGTCTCCTGCAGTTGCTAAAACAGAGATCTCTTTGAATGGCGAGTCACCTTTATTAGCTGCCACTTTTGCTTACTGGGACAATATTCTTGGGCCCCGAGTGCGGCATATCTGGGCCCCAAAGACAGAGCAGGTACTTCTCAGTGATGGTGAAATAACTTTTCTTGCTAACCACACCCTGAATGGAGAAATACTTCGGAGTGCAGAAAGCGGTGCAATAGATGTGAAGTTCTTCGTCTTGGCAGAAAAGAGGGTAATAATTGTGTCATTAATCTTTGATGGAAATTGGAATGGAGACAGAAGCACATACGGACTATCAATTATACTTCCACAAAGTGAACTTGGCTTCTACCTGCCACTACACAGAGTGTGCGTGGATAGGTTAACACATATTATAAGGAAAGGAAGAATATGGATGCATAAGGTAGGTTTATTGTTCATTATTAAAAACAGTTGTACCACGTTGTCTTGAGCAAAAGCAAGAATTAAAATTCTGTGACACCTGTTATGTAGCAGTCCAGACAGGAAAACTCAGAGGGGGCTGACCTCTCTACAGGTGTACAATTTTGAAGATTAAAAGTTACCAACATGTCAGCAAATTCAAGAGGGGTTTCTAGCCACGTGATGTATGCTGGTAATATTATATAACCTGTACCAGGCTGTCTCGGTGAAAGAGGTATCCTGTACAGTTTTTCATCTCTCTGAATGTGATATACATTGTTTCTTTTAACTCTGTTAATCAGTGTATTTGAACTAGGTAGAATTGTAAATTTACTGTGCTTCAAATCATTGTTTTCACTGTTGAGGTCCAGAAGAGGAAAATGATGCAATTAATGTCATTGTTGTTAACAGTTTTATTTTTCAAAAAAAGGGTGTCAACGAACAATTTGGCAGGTGTTAAATTGTGTAAAACTAATGGGAGAACCACAAATATACATCTACTTTAGTCCAAAATTTTCTACTTTTGAAATTCAAAAGGAGAACACACTATATTTCTCTGAAGAATTGCAAAGCTTACCTTTGGGTACATTATGAATATTTCTTTACTAGGTGAAAATTGTTCCATATTTTTGTTTAAATAACATTCTAATAATAAATATTAAAATCTCAGTCGTCTTCATGGAGTACAAGTTGTCTTAGAGCAGTAGATTGCATGTCAGCTGTAATGTGTATTCTGATGCATGTTTGTCTGGTAAAGTTTTTGTTCCTCTTCTGTTCTGAGACCTTGTCAGCATTACTTTAAACTTCCTCTTTGAGTGCTTTTATGTGAGCTAATTAAGATTCCAGAAATAATAAGCTGATGTTAGTTTTTGTGGTGGTGTTTCTTTTTTGCTACATGAACAAACTGCATTGGATTTTCCTGTATTACCAGATGATGGCTGGCAGTGTTTTCCGTAACATTGACTCTTGAGACTCCTGGGGTTTATTTTTCAGAGAAAAGTTAGGACATAAGGTTCGTTTTCAATATAGTAGAAACAGAAATGTTTCATTCCTAATCTAGTCTTCTGAAAGTTGCTAGATGTTAGTGCTTTTGATGTAAGTGAATGCAGTCTCATGTTCTTGATTACATTGCTTCTCTGTCATTTAGTGTCCTCTGCATTGACTTTTAATGTTAGTGGTCAAATAGAATTGTCTATAGTACGTCTTTTCTCTTTTTGGACATGGATCCATATCAATATATCTCCACAGCTGAAATAGACTTCAGGTGGCATTGAGAACGACAAAAAAATATTTCCTACTAGTTTCCTTAGAAACTAATCATTAAGTTCTTCATTCTTTTTCAGATGTTCTCGAAGCAGGTAAGGAAACTGGGTTAGCTGAGACAGTGATACAGTCTGAAATAGATATTTATTGTCTCTTTTTTTTTTTTTTTTTTTTCTCTTTTGGAAGATCACAGTACAAAATAGGTGACAGATTTAATCAGAACCAGGGAGGGACTCCACAAAATAGTCTTGATAGCCTGAAGGCAAGTTCTCTGTTCAGCAACTCTATAATGTAGTAAACTTGGTTAGAACTGCAAGTATCTACAGTGCTGCAGCTTTACCTGGAGGAGAGACAACTTTGAAAATTTAAATTAAAGTTTAGGCATGAGTTGTAGAATTATAATCTTGAGTTAAGAGGCTCATTTTGTAGTTTGTGTTTTGAGGCAAGTCAGCAGCTATGGCTACAATAGAACAAAAAACGTTGGAAGTTATATCTGAAAGGAACGTTGTATCTGTTCTGGAGTTTCTAGTGGTTGTGGTTATGAGTTTTGTGTAGAGCCGGACAACGTTTCCAGATAGACTTTAGAAAAGAAGAAGGCTTCTGAACTCAAGGACTAGGAGAAACATGGAACAGTCATCAGACTGGCAAAGAAAGACAACTCCAAGCAAGTCATCTATGTGGGATTAGAAACCCCCTTTATCTACTTCAATTTTATGTTCCAGATGTTTGTCTCATAATTTTGAGCAGTTAGATTTCTAAAAAGAAGAGGCTTACACCATTTATTCAGCCTTATCTTCATGAAGACTGACTTCCTTTAAAGCAGAGAGTTTTCATTGTCAAGAATCTCTTACTTCACTGACACTGAACTCAAGGATGGAGGTGCCCTGAAGGAATCTGCCTCGTTCCAGTATTGTTTTTCACAGATGCTCCTTTTAGATGGTTAAACAAGTTTTATTACTGTTTTAGGGCAAGTTACTGTAGCTTGTTCCCTATTCACCTGCTCAAGAAATATTATGTAATTTGTTTTCCCACTTGAAGTTGATGAACTTGGAGTAGTTCAGCCACAGGAAACGAATGAGTAACCAATAAAAATGGAATAACCTGTCAGCATCTATCAAGAAATATAATTAGTTCTCGTATTGTCTTCCATTTTTGCTTCTGGTATTGATTGCTCCAGTGATTAATGATGAATTCTCTTTGTGTATAATAACTTGATTCCATTGTAAGTTGCATTTTGAGTTCAGTTTGCTGCTCAGCTGCTGGTGAGTCTGTTTTGAGAACTTTGTCCAGTTTCTTGTACATCGTGTTTTGTGTATTTTGAGGTTTCATGTCTCCTGTACTTGGTTATAAAACAATGTTTTGAAGACTTGTCAGTGTCTTAAGATGTGGGGGGGAAAAAAAAAAAAGTCCTGTTTTTCCTGCCTTCCCCAAACAAATAATTTTTTCTCATTCTGGAGATCTCATTTTTTTTCTTGCTGCATCAGGAACCATCAAACCTTATCCATCTGAAAACAAAAATCCATACATAAAGTGGATTTCTGCACCATAATCTGATAATTTGGCACTTTCTTGATCTATAAAGAAGAAAAATAACGTTTTGTCATTGTCATCACACCCTCCCTTTCCTGCTACTCCTGCCCAAGCATGTGAGAGGTTTGGTGGGGGGCAAAGTGGGAGCATTGACCTATTTAAAATGACATCACTTCCTCCTATTGCCAACTCTGTAAAAGAAAAAAAGACTTGAACATGAAAATTTGAATCTAAGAAGCATGACTCCACAGGGAAGAAACTGTACCATTTGACTGTTGTGTGCATACCTGTATAAACAAATACCAGAGCGTTTATATTTAACTGCTTCTCTTGCTCAGGAGAGGCAAGAACATTTCCAGAAGATTGTCTTGGAAGGCTCGGAGAGAATGGAGGATCAGGTAAGGGCCATCTGGTTGATGCGTATGGCACACCATCACAAAACTATTTGACTGCATCTGGTGACTGTAGAAGTTGGTGCTGCTTCTTATTTTTGGGATCCAGGAAGATACTTTGGACTGGCTGATGACCTGCCATGCACAGGAGGCAAAGTTTCTGAAGATAGGACGATGGAAGCTGTGAACAAGTTGAAGGAAAATATATTCATCACTTTATGGGTAAAGTGGAAATCTATGAAGAATATTACCTTTCAGAAAAGGGAAGTCATTTACTTGAACTTGAAGCTCTGTAAAGGTAGTAGCTTCCATAGATTGATGCTCGCCTCCTGTCAAGGGTGGTTGTTCACTAGGTCATTACCTTTTCGAGTTACAGAGACGTACAGAATCTCATGTGGAATGTGGTTCAAGACCTAATGGATAAGACTGTGAAAAGAATTTGATGTCTGAAACTGTAAATATGAAATTGTGGCTTCAGTTTCTTGTGATAGATAAAACAGATAAGTAATTTTGTATGTTAATAACTAATATGCCTTGTTTTGGTTTCCTATCATTGTTAAAACATCAGACTGACTTAAAATGCTTACCAGTAATTGCACATAATATGGTATGATCAGATTATCTCACTCCAAATACTTTTTCTCCAGGCCAATCAAATGATTGTGAAAATTAGCACAGGACCCTGGAAATAAATTTTAGACACCATGTCGAGTAGCAAAATGTATGTTTCCAGTTCATAATGATTGATGATCAAAGCCCTAGAAGTCTGTGTCAATTTCTGCTCATACCACACTTCCAAACAGTAGGAAGTTAAAGATGTTTTGCATGTAATACTGCAAGTTCATGTTAGTAGTAACTTTTAATACTGCACAACGTGCTTTTTTTCTTCAAGCATTTTATTTATTGCACAGGGCCAGAGCATCATTCCAATGCTGACAGGAGAAGTCATTCCTGTAATGGAACTCCTTTCATCTATGAAATCACACAGTGTTCCAGAAGAAATAGATGTAAGTCCTTGTGTTCTTTGCATTCTATATAAAAAAGTGTCTTTGGCAGTCTGGTTTGATACCCTCTTTGGCAAACAAAATCCCACAGTTGTCATAAATTCTTGTACACTTCAATTGTTTTGCACCAAGTTCTGTATGGTGTAGGGAATGGTTTAACATAACTGTTTTATTTCAGTAAATGTAACAGTACTAGCAGTGGTTTTTATGGTCAGCACTCCGCAAAATTGACTACATAGGATGATACCATTTTAAGAGTGGAGTAGAAAGAATATTTGATGCAAAACAAAATGAATGGGAAGGTAAATGGTTTTAATGTTGATACCTGTTTCAGCATGGGTTCATGTTCTCATAGAATAAATAGAAGTGGTCTCACATGCACTAATTTAAAGTATTCTGGACAAGGTTACAGAAAAAAACACTGGGATGAATCTGACTTGTGACTGGTGAAGAAGGTTTAATAATCAAGTGACTTCATTTTCAGAATTGCTTGGCTGAAGTCAGAAGGAGGTCTTTTTAAGGTTGTGCTTTTGGGCAGTCTTACAATTTAGCTTAAATAGTTCCCAAACTGTTCCCACCTATCATTAAAACCAAAAATCAGTTAATTGGAAGGTGTTGCAGATCCTTGTCTAATCTTTGTTTATATTTACTTACATTTCAGATAAGTGACACAGTGCTAAATGATGATGACATTGGGGATAGTTGCCACGAAGGCTTTCTTCTCAAGTATGAATTTCAGTTTTGATTTATGCTGTAGTAAAATGATTTAAACTTATGTGTTATATATATATATCTGTATGTGCATGTGAGCATTTATTAGATTCGTTTTCTTTATAGGAGTGGGGAGGATGACATTTATTTGGCTTTTTGAGATTTTTGTCTATAAAATGTTGTAGAAGTTGCTGGTTTCTTAGAAGAATGGCTCTAGGCTAATAGCCATATCTCTATAGAGTGTGTTGTCACAAAGTCATTTACTTGATAGAGTTCCTATAAAATATAATTTTCTTTATACTTAAGTTCAATTTTATGAGGCTATAAGGCAAAGCCTTACATTTTTATGTTTTTATGTAAGACCAAAAAACCTGGGGTTGCGTTTAATGCATAAACTATGAATAGGAGTCATTAATGGTATGGCATATAGAGCACTTAAGTTGTGTATTTATCTTCTCCCCGCTCCTTCTCCTACTTCCCATTTTTAATGTGTAAGTGAAAGCAGTCACACTTGAGAGCAGCTTGGTCTTTTCCTGTGGGAAGGCATATTTCATAGATTTTTAACTGATGTTCTGTTACCTTTCAGTAAGTCTCCAGTGTAACTACATTCATTTATGTAGTGCTTAGTGCCATTTATTTATACAGTGTCACATATGCTTCCAGTAATATAGAAATTCATAGTTAATGTAACTAATTCTTCACAATGATGTAGTATTTAGTTCCATGGAGAATTTGGGAAATAATGAAGTGAATATCACGGAACAGCTTATTGTAGACAACTAAAGCCCTTGATCCTACAATGATGGTTCACATAGTAGACTGTAGGGTGTCAGCTACCTCCTCTTGCTACTTCCCCTTGGAAATTTTTTCCTGAAAAGAATAACTTGGACATTCATGTGAAGGGTCCACATGTCTGCTTTTTAGCTTATCTGCAAAGTTTATTAGCTCATCTAGGTTCAGATTTCAAGTCTTAACTATAGTGTTGTATGGCTTTTTACATGTTGCTGAATAAAAATTGGATTAAACTAAATAAAATGCCACATCAACAATACCAACCTCTAAAAACAGCAATCATGCTTTCTTAGTAACTACTAAATGATTCTGAACAGCTATTTCTGCCCCAAAGGAAGAATTTGTAAGAATTCAGATGACCTTAAATTCTTAAACTCTTAGAATATACCTGATAAGATAAACAGTAGAAAGTCCACCTGTAGATTTCAAAGGCTGAGTGTGTTACAGTCCTTATCAATTAAAGGTGTTTGTTAGAACCAGTTAATCACATACAATGCATCCTTCAGTAAGATAGTATAAATGTACTTTTGTATATTCACAGACACTGGAGAAATTTTTTTAATAATAGTATTTATACTTTCTAGAGGATCTAGACTTCTTGAAGCTTTGGACCAAGTGTTGGTTTGAGAAGGCACAGGGAGAAAGTGAGATAAGGATAAGAAACCTCAACAGAAGTTTCTTAATGACAAGTTAAGACTTGTGAACATTTGTCCAGGTACATTTACTGCAGCATCCAAACTTAAAATAAAAATTAAATCACATTTGTGACAACTCAGAAGAAAAGATCACTCAACTTCCAGCATGCCCGTCTGTATTCTGAGGGACTCGAGTTTGTAACGTACTTTTGCTCATGAAGTTAGTCACCAGTAGAACAGTTTACCTGCTAAGTCTCCCAAACTGTCTTCTGATCCACAGTTTCAGAAAAGGAGGACAACCATAGAATAGATCTTCTGCCAAGATGCTTTCAGATCCTTCATTTTTAATGTCTTCTATTACTTTAGAGAAATTATTTTATACAGATTCTGTAGTACAATTAGATAGTAGCAGTAGACAGTTTCTGTTTTCTCTGTAACTGGTGTTTGGAGGTTTTGAGTGGCAGTCTTTTTATTCATCAAAATGAAAATGTAGATACTGTTGAACTTTTGGATTTCAGCAGTAACCAACACGCAGCTGTGTGAAGTCCTTTAGGTATTGTATTAGGAGCACTTCATTCTTCTTGTGAAGTTGATAATTGTTTTGCTTGAAAAGTCTGATTAAACATATTAACCTATGTTTATTTTTATTTGCAGTGCAATTAGTTCACACCTACAGACCTGTGGGTGTTCTGTAGTTGTAGGAAGCAGCGCAGAAAAAGTTAATAAGGTAATGCACTTTCTAATAAACCAACCTTAAATGTGGGTTTTTAGGAGTGTTAGTGTGTTATTTGGAACAAGGTTTATCTATAAACGTGCTTGAGGTTGAAGAAGAAGAGAATACCGTTGTCTGAGTATCCTTCTTCAGCTCATTGGTCAAGCAGCTGATATACTGCCTGAAAATTGCCTTATCGGTTGTATTCTGGCAACTATAAGAAACCCAATATATTTCATTTAATTGATACTGCATCATTTCATTGGTACTATAGGCCCCCCTAAAGGGAGCCTATAAGAAGGCTGGAGGGGGACTTTTTACAAGGACATGTAGTGATAGGACAAGAGGCAACCGTTTTAGACTCAGACAGTGGACTGAGATTAGATGTAAATAAATTCTTCCCTGTGAGGGCGGTGAGACCCTGGCACAGGTTGCCCAGAGAAGCTGTGGCTGCCCCCTCCCTGGAAGGGTTCAAGGCCAGGTTGGACAGGGCTTGGAGCAACCTGGGCTAGTGGAAGGTGTCCCAGCCCATGGCAGGGGGGTGTAACTAGATGATCTTTAAGGTCCCTTCCAACCCAAACCATTCTGTGATAAACAAGTAGTAAATGAGTCTGAGCTTTTTAAAGTAGGTTTGTTAGCTAAAATATACAAATTGAAGTTTTCTGAACTGGCTATAGCTCAGCTATATCAGTGGGTATTATCTGTATAGCCTTAAGAAATTCATATCTGCATAATTTCTCTTACACTGGGGAATAAATGTGCTTCTGCATCATGAACTGCTTGTGTTTCATGGAACATCAAAGCTGTTGAATAAGTAGTCACACACACATGTTGAAACAAGCAGGCTTACTAGGACCTTAAACCATTCCAGGAATTGCAGCATTTTTTTCTTTGTAGCTGTGTTTGTGTTGATTTCATCTTCAGTCTGTTTAAAACTTAATTAGTAAATAAGTGTACAGTTTAACTGGTAGGTCTTAAGTTAGATTTGACTCAGCTTTCCACAAGAACCAGAAAGAGGCCAAGTACAGTTATAAACCCCTAAAACTGAGTCCTGTAACAACAAAGCACTCAGTGTGTTATACTTAATGGAGCACATTAGTAGGGGTGCTGTTTAGGAGCTTTCAGGTCAAGAAACAATAAGCAGCATTAACTGAACCTCTTGACAGGGAAGAATATGTAATGTACATCATTATGGTCTATTTTGGAGGAAAAAAGATCACCCTTGGAAGCTGTCATTTCAGAACAAGAAAATAATAACATTTTGTGGTAGACTTTTTTCCCATGCTGTTATTTCTTTTAACTCTCTTGTGAGCTTGTTATGAAATTTTTTATTTGAACCAATATAAAACTATCACTCGTACTGCTTTTCATCTACAATTCTTGTGTAAATGGAGAGTGTCTCATGCTTATTTTAAGCTTACTCAGTACATGAAGGAAAAATCAAATTAGGATCTTTCCCTTATTCAGAATTCTCCAAGTACTTTTTTTGTATATGGCTTTTGGATTAAACCAAAATGGTAGTTCCAGATAAATTGAAAGCAATTCCTGGAAGAAATATGTTTGTGTTTACTGTCCATTGAAGTATTTCTTAAAGCATATTTATTTTTAGCATAATCAGTGTATCAGCATTTTGTTCAGAGAGATTTACATTTGTCTTGCATGTAATTAGGGTGTTACTCCATCACTTCTAATAAAAACACTGAAGTTAGTTTTCAGTTAGGATATTCAGAGACAAATCATGAAGAAAACGTTTTCTTCGTGAGAAAATTTCACTAAATTAATTGCCTCTCTACATTCATGACTGGGTCCTTTTAATAAACCTCTTTGATTCAGAATATCCCTGCAACTGGAAATTAAAAGAAGGGTTTAATATAAGTGTGCAATCCTGGAGCCTTCAGGTATTAGATGCCATGGCACTTAATGACTATACCAATACTGCTGTGAGGCTCTGCGTGGTTATATAAGCATTATAAGTTTTCAATTTACACTGGGGTCACGCAATAACAACAGTGCCATGTCCTAAGACCATGACAAAGGTCCTACAATGGTACATGTGTAGAAGCAGTATATTCAGATAACTTTGTTTTCTGATAGGGAATGTTTTTGGGCTCTTCTGTCTGATTATGTTTTTAATTGTGATGTACTAATTAACGAGCTCTAGTTTATTTTGTAAGACTGAAACCTTCCTTTGAGGAAAAACTCATTTTTATTTTCAAAGTTAATGCCTTTTTTGGTATATATATGAATGTATCTGTGTGTATTGCTTCAGTGTGAAATAAAAACTAAGGACAGTGGTCCTGCTGAATATTACTACATATTAATTGTAGACTATACATATTATGTATTTTATAATATGTATGGCTCCTTGTTGAAGTGAAATATAATAGTCGTCTTTTTAAAAAGCTCAAGGCACCTCTAGTAAACCTGTGTTTGAAATAAGCAGTTCATGATGCTTTGTAAAAATTGGGGTGGGGTATGCATTGTTTCATGTGTATTGGCAGAGATGGTAAAGCACCTCTGATCAAATGAACAGTAAATGCTGGTACTCAAAAATAATCATAAGCAAGAGGGGAAGCAGAAAAAAGAAAATTCTCAGTTCTTAGCTGAACTCAGCTAACCATAGTTAGTGTGTGTTGTTTCAAGGATGTGAAATTTGCACATGGTTAAGTTAGCATAATAGAAGAAGTGTTAAGAGCTTCAGTGATTATAAAAATTTTAATGTTTGTGCTTCATAAAATAATTAATTAAAAGGCTTTAAGGTCTAAATGTTGAGGATGTAAAATAATGTATTGATAAGCTAGACACTAGGGAAAAAAACCAGTCTGAAAGAATGTGAGTCTCTAGATACATCCAGTGTAAATCTCATAAATTCTACCCAGGCTCTTATCAGCAGTGTGCTCTTTGTGTCATGGTGCTACTGTTCTGAAGTAATTGCTTGCTTTATGTCATACTTTAGCTTTCCTTAAGGTAAAATCCATGTATTGCATATTGCTAAAGTGACGAAAAACACTAGTCAGAAACTATGTTGTCATTGTTTTAGGTACTGCATAAACACATTGTGCAATGATAGAGCCTTCTCAAACACCTTACAGATACAGGTGGGACACCACAGGTTAAGACTGAAAGGTTAGCAAAATGGAATACATGTTTGTATTTGGAGATTATTACTTTGTAGCTGTTGCAGCACAGGAGTTAGAAAACTGATAATGAAGTACCTTTGTTGCTTTTAATGGAGAGTTTGAGGAAATTACTGAGGAAATAAGCATGGATACTTATCTAGGAAATTGGCTGTGCCTGATTGGAGACAATAGCTGCTGTTTCAATATGGAATTAATAAAATAAGAGGCTTAAAAGGCTAGGAAAGTAATCACAGTAACTCATGTTTATGTAATAGGAAGGGGAAGCAGAAGGCATGTGTGATTTGTTCTTCATAGTTGGATCAAAACCAAACTTTTCCAAAAACTGTTGGATTTGACAAGTTCGAGTGATACGGTTTACAGCTTAATAATTTAAGCATGTCACTATTCTGTGACCCTGGTAAAGTTTTGGCTTTTCTAATAATCATGCCGAACTTTTTTGTTCATCATTTGAAATGCCTAATACATTCTAGTCAGAAATTACATTTGAAGAGCAGTTCATTCCTTACCCATTCGTGTTTTTCAAAACTGTTCTTTTTAATGCAGATTGTGAGAACATTGTGTCTGTTTCTTACACCATCAGAGCGGAAGTGTTCCAGACTCTGTAGAAATGAGTCATCTTTCAAATACGAGTCAGGACTTTTTGTCCAAGGCTTACTCAAAGTAAGTACACTTAAAGTTCTATTTTTCTGTAGCTGAAGAACAGTCTTCAGTCTATGTATATATCTTATGCACACACATACACACGTTCATCTTCAAAGAAATATATCATCTCCCCTTAATTACTTTGTGGCACTACAGCTTTACTTACAACTATTTGCATGTTGAAATTCCAAGCCAGTTTTTTCTCTAGCACATTTATTACTTGAATATTGTCCAAAGTTGTTCCTATACTTTGAGATACTGTAGTAATGCTCTTTTGCCTAGTTGGGGCTAGAATCCCAAAAGACATTAAGTTTTTATGTTGTACCAAAACCAAAAAAGAACAGTCCATTAGTCCTACTGTTTCCAAGTATTTTAAAAGGACTGCAGCAATGGTTGAAGATGAATAGAAAAATAATGCTTCCTGCTCTAGCAAGCAGTCTAGACTTACTGGATAATTATAAGAGTGTAATGTTAATGGGCTCATGAGCCAGATGATGCAATACTGTAACTGACAGGTTACCTGAGTGCCTGGTTTTGTTGTTACATTAAGGGAATCATCCAGTATAAAGGACTTTTTACTGGGCTACAGCCACCAGTTCTCTCAAACAAAATATGTCTAAACAAATGGGATTTAAAATTCAGGCATGATGCTTTAATATTGTTTTGTTCCAATATAGCTTTTTTAAAAAAAAAAAAAGTAACTAGAAGAATAATTTTTTTCACTGAAACAGGATGCAACAGGAAGCTTTGTGTTGCCCTTCCGTCAAGTAATGTATGCCCCATATCCTACTACACATATAGATGTAGATGTCAATACAGTGAAGCAGATGCCCCCTTGTCATGAGCACATCTATAACCAACGACGATATATGAGATCTGAGCTGACAGCATTTTGGAGAGCTAATTCAGATGAAGAAATGTCTCAAGATCATATTATCCACACAGATGAGAGTTTCACACCCGATTTGTATGTACTCTTCTCTCACATCTCTCAAAGTGACTTGATTTGGGACGAGAGACTAAAGTAGTACAGAGTGTACTTTCTGATAAAGCACATGAGTTTTTCTTGCTTTTAAGAAGTTCCTCCAGCTCTGGTAGTCGCATTTGTTCTAGAGGAACTTACTAGTTCCGTCAGTAGTTTTGTTGCATTAAATATTACTGAAATTCATTTTCAATTATACTTTTGACCATGTTATGTTAATTTTGTTGCCTGTTTTAATTAGGGGTATAATAGAGCTAAGTGTACTTGACAGGACCCAATGGCTTTCTTGGGTTTAGTTCATTCCATCTGAAAGTTTTTCTTTAAAATTCTGTATTAACTCTAATAATAGCAAGATTATAATTCACTAAGATTCTAAACTCACTGTTAATTTCTGCCAGATTGTAAACAGTAGGGCTATTGCTGTGCAATTGCTGGACAGTTAGTGTCCCTTCATGGTACTACCTCAAATTTTTGTTTGCTTTCTTTTCTATAGAAATGTCTTTCAAGATATCGTGCATCGAGATACGTTAGTAAAAGCCTTCCTGGATCAGGTAATTGTTGCTTTTTCAGAAAGAAAAAGAGCTAAAGTTTAGTACTTTGAGCCCTAGTAACAGATAACACGAATAGATAATTTGTTAGCTTGATAGCCCTGTTTCATACTAGTGCTATGATTCTTCTCTGCATAAGTAGAGAGAAAAATACTTGTGTTATTTGTAGTATTAATATAATACAGAAACTCCTTCTTATGTATGAAAAACAATGCACATTTTCTATTGCTGGGCAACAGTGTCTACAATTACAGTGTTGGGAAAGCTACTTGACTGGGATTAATTTCAGATCATTTTAAAAAGGAAAGGAATACTTGACCTAAACAGAATTGTAAACCAGCTTAATTTATTGCACCTGAGCAGCTAGAAAACTAAGAAGGAATGTTGAGTATATTTACAAATCCACTGTTAATGTGCCTGCTTTGTTTATAATTAAGGATATGCTACATGTATATGCAATGTTTCTTTATATTCCACATTCTTAAAGTGATTCTTGAATTTCAATATCTACTTAATTTTCTACTATAATTTTCAACAGATCTTTCATCTGAAGCCTGGCTTGTCTCTAAGGAGTACTTTCCTTGCACAGTTTCTGCTAGTCCTTCACAGAAAAGCCTTAACTTTAATAAAATACATAGAGGATGACACGTAAGTGAACAAATAATAGAAAGCAGGCTTTGAGAAACTTCCCCTATTCTTTCTTACAGCACCCTTTTTTATTTTCTTGCAGGCAAAAAGGAAAAAAAACCTTTTAAGTCTCTTCGTAGTTTAAAAGTAGATCTTGACTTAACAGCAGAGGGCGATCTTAACATTATAATGGCTTTGGCTGAGAAGATTAAACCAGGTCTACATTCCTTTATCTTTGGGAAGTCGTTCTACACTAGTGTACAAGAACGTGACATGCTGATGACATTTTAAAGTTCTCCACTGCTAATGTGTAATATTGCAGTCTTGCATGGCACGAAAAGAAATTTGTCAGTATGACCACCACACTTGTGACAATCATTGACTTGACTGGGGATAAAGCATTAAGAGCACAGTAACACTAAGTCTGTCCGAAGCAGGAGGGAGTCTTGTTAGAGGGAATATCAGCTTAGCTAGACAAGCATGATTTTAATCAATCCATCTCTTCTGTATGCTTCTTTTGAACAGTAGAAATAAATGTTACCAGAAGTTCCTTTGACATACGGGTTTATGAGATAAATTTGAACATGTTTTAGTGTACAATGAAGGGAAGCATTTTAATTTTTTTTCCCCAGAGACTTCCTTCAGGTGTGTGTCAGTTTTTCTCTGTTCTGCTGTGTCAGTATTTTCAGTGTTTCCACAGAAAGCAGTACATCATATAAGCGTGGAATGGTTTCAGTTGGAAGCGACCATAAAAGTCATCTAGTTCCAACTCCCCTGCCATGGGCAGGGCCCCCTTCCCCCAGCCCAAGGTGCTCCCAGCCCCGTCCAACCTGGCCTTGAACCCTTCCAGGAGGGGGCACCCACAGCTGCTCTGGGCACCCTGTGCCAGGGTCTCACCACCTTCACAGTGAAAAACTTCTTCCCTATATCTAATCTAATACAACTCAATGTAACTCAATTTTATCTTCCTTATATCTAATTAGAGAGGCCATATGACATCTCTAATCATGGAGGTTGCAGAATAGGGGCCTTCCAATCATTTCAAAGGGTTTTTAAAAATGTTTGTTCTTATCTATGTGGTACAAATCTGAAATATATCTTCCCTCATCTCCCTTCTTAACACTACTGGCTCCTTCATTTAGAACATTTAAAGGTGTGTGGGATTTTCAGTGTACTACAAAGTGCTATTCTTGTGTGGAAATTGTTGACTATTAGCAGCTTAAATAGTATCACTCTGCATGTGGGAACTGGGTCATTATTTAAGCAACTTTGTGCATGTAAGTGCCAACCTGTCACAGATTGTTGGGTCATCCTTCAGTGAACTGTTCAGTGATGCAGCACAACTGAGCTCTTTCAAAACACAAAACAGAAAACTTGTGTTATTCAGCAGCAGTTGTCAGTCTTTCTGTCTGTAAACTGCTGCTGGTTTTTCCATTGTCAGTGTGAATAAAGTTCAGATTGAAGTATCAAACTTTACCAAAGAACGCCAAATTGATAGCCAAACTAAAAGATAAGATAGTAATTTTTTTTATACTGCCATTAATGTATTTAATAATCCTTAATTCAGAGATGAGCACAGCTATGAACAATATGATTAGCATTTTACTAAGTGAATTCTAGTCAGTAATTTTGCCAGTCTTCTGAGTTCATCTTAGCACATCTCCAACTTTGCTTTGCTTTAAAATAAAAACATATTTTCTATTTGTATGCCTCAACCTTTCTTTACCAGTAGCATGTAGGAGTGGTGTGGTGTCAGGTTAATCCAGACCACTTTTTTTGAGTTGTGACACATGGTTGCTGCATTTTACATTGAAATCAGTGGAACATGTGTACTACATGTTGTTGTACATCTTCTCTTTTTGGGTAAACACCAGAATGTGTTTGTGTCATGTTTTAGTGTAACCTCATAACTCAATCTTCATTGTGAAAGAGCTGCACTTGTGATTGGAGAAGCCATGGTTGCTTTGTTGCTTAAATTGTTTATAACACTCCTTGGTGAACAGGCTTCTATCTTCAAGATAGCTTTTTAGCGTGTCTTTCATGAAGTGAGGTGTAAAAGCTAACAGAAGTTAGATTCACAACTTTTCCTGAAATGTCCAACACTCATATTTTAAAAGTAATACTTTATTTAAATGCCCAGAATTCCCTTACATTTCCTGAAAGACAATGATTCACAATTAAATACTTACAGCTTCTGAAAGATGTGGAATTGAGCCCCAGCTGCACATTGTTTTTGCGAGTGAACATAACTACACTCCCTGACAGAGTCCCACCCCATCTTTCCTGTAGCACCCTCTAAGTACTGGAAGACTGCTAGAAGGTCTCTCTGGAGCCTTCTTCTCTCCAGGCTGAACAACCCCAACTCTCTCAGACTGTCCTTGCGGGGGAGGTGCTTCAGCCCCTTGGTCATCATTGTGGCCTCCTCTGGACCCACTCAAGCATGTCCATGTCCTTCTTATGCTGGGGACCCCAGAGCTGGACACAGCACGGCAGGTGGGGTCTCACAAGAGTGGAGTAGAGGGGGAGAATCCCCTCCCTCGACCCGCTGGCCACACTGCTCTTGATGCAGCCCAGGACACAGCTGGCTTTCTGGGCCGTGGGCACACAGTGCTGGCTCACAGTCAGTTTTCCATCACTAATAACCCTAAGTCCCTCTCCGCAGGGCTGCTCTCAATCCACTCATCACCCAACCTGTATTTGTGCTTGGGATTGCCGCAACCCATGTGCAGGACCCTGTACTTGGCCTTGTTGAACTTTTTGAGGTTGGCACGGGCCCACCCTTCCAGCCTGTCCAGGTCCCTCTGGATGACATCTCTTCCCTCCAGCTTGTGGGTGTTGGCAAATTTACTGAGGGTGCACTCAATCCCACTGTCTGTGTCTCCTACAAAGATGTTAAACAGCACTTTTCCAAATACTGACCCCTGAGGAATGCCTCTTGTCATGGCTGTCCACCTGGACGTTGAGCTGTTGACCACAACTCTTTGAGTGTGACATCCAGCCAATTCCTTATCCACTGCGTGGTCCATCAGTCAAATCCATGTCTCTCCAATTTAGAGACAAGGATGTCATATGAGACAGTGTCACATGCTTTGCACAAGTCTAGGTAGGTGATACCAGTTGCTCTTCCCTTATCCACCAGTGCTGTAACCCCATCGTAGAAGATCACCAAATTTATCAGGCAGAATTTGCCATCAGTGGAGCCGTGTTGGCTGTCACCAATCACCTTATTTATCATGTGCCCTATCATAGTTTCCAGGAGGATCTGCTCCATGATTTTGCCAGGCACAGAGGTGAAACTGACTGGCCTGTAGTTCCCTGGGTCCTCTTTTCCTTTTTTAAGAACAGGGGTTATGTTTCCTCTTTTCTAGTCAGTGGGAACTTTACCGTACTGCCACAATTCCTCAAATATGATGGATAGTGGATTAGCCACCTCATCTGCCAGTTCCCTTGGGACCCACAGATGCATCTCATCAGGTCCCATGGACTTGTGCAACTTTAGGTTCCTTAGATGGTCTTGAACCTGATCTACAGTGGACGGTTCTTCATTGTCCCAGTCCTTGCCTTTACCTTTTGTGTCTTGGGCATTGTGGTTGGAGCACTTGTTGGTAAAGATGGAGGCAAAAAAGTCATTTAGTACCTCAGCCTTCTTCATATTCTGGGTGACCAAGTATCCTATTTCCTTCCAGAGAGGGCCCACATTTTCCCTAGTCTTCCTTTTATCACCATCATACATACAGAGGCTTTTCTTGATGTCCTTGACATCCCTGGCCAGATTTAATTTTATCAGGGCTTTGGCCTTCCTAACCTGATCCCTGGCTGCTCAGACAGTTTCTCTGTATTCCTCCCAGGCTGCTTGTCCTTGCTTCCACCTTCTCTTGGCTTCCTTTTTGTGTTTGAGCTTATCCAGCAGTTCTTTGTTCATTTGTGCAGGCCTCTGGATATTCTTACTTGACTTCCTCTTTGCTGGGATGCATTGCTCCTGAGCTAGGAGGAGGTGAGCCTTGAATATTAAACAGCTTTCTTGGGCCCCTCTTCCCTCCAGGCCTTTATCCTGCGATACTCTGCCAAGCAGATATCTGAAGAGGCCAAAGTCTGCTCTCCTGAAGTCCCGGGTAGGTAGTGAGCTTGCTGTGCACTGCCTTGCTGCCCTAAGGATCTTGAACTCTGCCGTTTCATGGCCACTGCAGCCAAAGCTGCCCTTGAGCTTCATGTTCCCCACGAGCCCCTCCTTGTTGGTGAGAACAAGGTCCAGCATAACACCTCTTCTTACCAGCTCCTCTGTCACTTGGAGAAAGAAGTTATGATCAGTACATTCCAGGAACCTCCTGAGTTGCTTATTCCCTGCTGTGTTGTCCCTCCAGTTGGGAAGTGGTTCAAGTCCCCCATGAGGACCAGAGGTGAATATGAGGTTGCTCCTGTCTGTCTATAAAGGGCGTCATCCACCTGGTCTTCCTGGTCAGGTAGCCTGTAGCAGACCCCCACTATAATGTCTCCTGTCCCTGCCCTCCCCTTAATCCTGACCCGTAAGCTCTTTGTCGGCTCCTCACCCATCCCCAGGCAGAGCTCCCTGCACTCCAGCTGGTCACTGACACAGAGGGTGGCACCCCCTTCTCGCCTCCAATGCCTGTCCTTCCTGAAGAGCCTGTATGCAAACATGCGCTTGCAAGTTGGGCCTCTGATGAAGCTGACTTACTGGCTGGAATCCCTTTGTGCTGCTGTTCAGGGGCTCTCCTGCTGCCCTGTGACCCTTCTTCAGGCTCTGGGCATCTATTGCTGACACTGGCATCAAACTGGTAGGAGTGGGATGGATTGAGGTTCCCCTCCCCTGGCAACTTGAGTTTAAAGCCCTCTTCATCAGCTTGATTTACTTCGTCAGACATATTATTTGTGCTGAGATTCTGTTTCTTCCTACCATTATTATTTCCTTTTGCATTTTTAATCAATTGATCCATTAGGAAAGAGCCTGATTGCACTAAGTTTTTACTCTCGTGTCTAAGATTGTGAAAAAAATGTGATAAACACTGCTGAAACTTCTAATGTAGAAGTTGTGTTGAAGTCTAAAGAGCTTTAAATGTGCTGCTGAAATTGATCACTTCAGCTTGATAGGCATCGGAAACTTAACACTGACACTACTAACAGTAAAGCTGTTTATTTACTGAAGCTGTCACTTTTTTAAATCACTAAAAGCTGGAAACTTTCTCAGTTGCTTCTTTTGTTGCACAACTGTCACAAGTGCACTATCACAAGTGCAGAATGTATCGTTAAGTAAATTATTAAATGCATCTGCATGTTGTGTTGTAAATCTTGCTCAGGAAACAAAGTATTCTAATAAAATTCATGCACAATTTTTGACTTTAATTGCTGCTGATTTTTTTTAATAGAATTTCTGTTCTGTAACTGATAGAATCATTACCTTTTGTCCTCTGAAATAAAGAAGAAAGCTTTTTCCTTCTTATTAAATTAAAAATTATGCTGAGATGGTGAATCATAGCCTGTCATTGATAGAAAGTCATATGTTACTTAGTTCCTTCATTTCTGTTAAGGACTTACTCATTTCAAGCTGAGACTGGTGTGACTTTCTATGCCTCTTACGTGCTCAGATAAGAATTTAGCCAAAACTTTTAAGAAGTTTTAATCACATGTGAGAATTTCAAAATGTTTCAAGGAGTTCACTTATATCTAGCAGTCAGTGAATACCGTTCTTCAGGATTTAGTTCCTTACAGTTTAAATAATATGGCTGGTTTATTTTTTCCAGTTGGATTTGAAGGGGGAGTGCTGTTTTTTGGATATTTTTCATAGCACATTTTCCCTGATCTTGATTGCTGGTCTTTTGTTTAAAGGTAGCACAGAAAGATATCCACTGGAATGTCTTATTTGTTGGGACTGCAGAGGATATTCCCAGTCTATGTACTAGTATAGGTATTTTGGTAATGTTCTTATCCCTGAACCAACAGTATGGTATACCAGTACGGAGTGCCAGGACTTCTCCATTCTCCACTGGGAAAAGGTGTTGGAAAGATTTCTCTTCCTATTCCCACATCTGTGAATACAAAGCAAAGTGGTCCAAAATGTGAAAGCTATCTCATACAGGCATGTTACTCACCTTTATTATCTAATCAGAGCCTACAAAGAATGTGCTTTGTCCTCTCTTCAACAGTAAAGAGGCAAAAACCATATGCATTAGTATGCAGAGTAGTTTTTTGCACATGAATAAAACATGGTTGTGTCCTTTACCTCTGTCCTGGAGCTGCACTCTGTTACACCCCCTACTTGGGCAAAACACCAAGGGAACTCTATGACAGCATGTCCTTATTAACAAGGCTGTTCATGTGATTCTCTGGTTAAAGGAATTCATTACTGTGCTTCTAAAGGCCATGCTGTTCATGTGCATGTCCAGAGGTTTCAAATGCATAAGACTTCAATTACATTTCACAAAAAAGGTTGCAGTGCTGACAATCACCATTGAGTAAGTCTGACTTCAGTTCTAACTAAAATAATAGAGCTGCCCTGCAAGAACTTTTGACCTCTGATTAGCATAGGGCAGATTTTCAAAGCAAAAGATAAGTGCAAAGAAAATTTTCTACTTAAATGGCATGGACTGCCAACTGGTGATTGTTCCCTTCTTTTAGATGTTCCAATCTTTATTTTCATGTACACAGTAGAGACCTGTGGCAACTGGAAAAAGACCGAAAGACAATCTGGGGAACTGCAGGTTGACCAGTCTTACTCAGGTACCTGGGAAGATCATGACATGTGTCCTCTTGGAGCACGTGTCTTGCCACATGAGGGAAAAGGTGATGAACTGTCAGCATTGCTTGACTACAAATTAATAATGCTTCACGCACCTCATTTCTTTATGTGATAAAATGACTGGGTTTGTGGACAAGTGGAGAACGGGATATCATTTAGGTTGACTTCATCAGGGCTTCCAGCACTATCCTACAATGTCCTGGTAGCCAAGCTGGATGTTAGGGACTGGGTGTGTGCCCCACCAGAGGGGTAGATACGTGGTTGGGTGGTTGGGCTCAGAGGTGGTCACTGGGTTGAATCTGCTTGTAGGCTGGCGCCCCGAGGGGTTCCACAAGGCCTGCCCTGGGGTTTGTCCCGTTTAATATCTCTGTCTGTGATCTGGGGAGGTGACCAGGTTTGCAGGTGATGCCAAACCTGGCACAGGGGAGACGTTGATATGCACGAGGGCAGGGCTGATGTCCAGAGGGATCCTGGGCCAGTGGGAGGAAAGGACAGGGCCCCTGGGCACTTGGGGCAGGAGCAAAGGGCAGCCCTGCCCTAGGCAGGCAGAGCCCTGGGAGACATGCCAGTGAGATCTGGGGCAGCTCTGGGGAGAAAGTCCTGAGTCTTGGTGGGCAGTGAGGTGGCAGGGCCAGAGAGGCTGGAGATGAGGGAAACGTTTCCCCTCATGAGGACATCTGGGCAGTGGGGCCAGGCCTAGGGAGACGGTGCCATCTCCCTCCTTGGAGGGTTCCCAGCCCCCACAGGATAATGCCCTGAGCCCTGGTCTGACCCCACGGCTGAGCCTGCTCTGGGCAGGGGGTCAGACTGGAGACCTACCAAGGTCCCTGCCAGCCTGAACTGTCCTGTGGTTACGGTCTGGCAGGCAGGCTGCAGTCACTCTTGCGTAGAGCCAGAGAACAGCTGAGGTGGGCAGTGACCTCTGGAGGGTAATGGGTCCAACCCTGCTCGGACCAGACTGACTTCCATCGATGTTGCTCATGGCGTTGTCTGATCAGTTATGAGTATCTCAGGTATCACAGATATCACAGATAAAAGCAGGGGCTGAATAAACTCCACTGTGAGAGCACAGATGTGCAAGAGCTTAAAGGTGGCCCTGGATTCACCAGTGAAACTGTGGGTGCGCTAAAATATGAATCCCATAGAGAAAATTTTAGCTATCAGGAATATGGCATCTATGGGGTCTAGCACAGTTGTTAAAATTAATGGCATCATATCTTTCACTTGAAACGAGAGCTAATCGGACTTTTCATAGAAACATCTATCTGTAGCAAGGAATAAAAAGACTTTTAAGATAGAGGAATGTAGACATATAAGGATATTTAGGTAAAATCACTTAAGACATTTTTGGCTGAGTATCAAAGTAAAAGCTTGATGCTGTGAAGCAGTGATATCTCAAAGGCAAACCTTTGAAACTTCATCCCTAACCGGTATCTAACGATAAGCCAAAATGTTTGAAAATGTGTAACAGCCAAAAGCTAATTTGTGAAACTAAGTTCAATGCCAGCTTCTCTTCCATTTAGAAAATTGTCTCATTATAGTACAAGAGAGTGTCTTTTCCAGCTTCAGTTAAATATGACTAACATTTGCCAGACTTTTGGTTTTCAGTACAAGCAGCAACATAAGAAATTGCAGGTCAGGGAATACTGAAATTTAGTACTGCAGCCTATGCATACGGTAATTTAATGTTTCTGCCAAAATGTTCAGTAGTGTAGCTGACGGATGAAACTGCAGTTTCAGCCTTCTGCATTAAACAATCGGGATGCAAAGCAGTTTGTCCTTGCCGAGATTTCTGTCTGTCTCAGGCTGCCTCTTCACTGGAAATTAATCTCACACCACTTTGTCTCCTGCTAGCGTTCTCTGCCCTGTCTCTGTGATAGCCGTATTTGGAAATAATTTCTGATAACCTAGATTCTGGAGGAAGGACCTTCTGGCATTTGTGGGGTTTTTTTAGTAGCCAAGGGCAGCTGCGCAGACAAACCACACAGAATGAAAAGGACTGGGAAAATAAGTGATGACTAATTAAATTCATACCAGTTTTTGGCAGAGAATTGGGCACTGGCAGGATGAGGAACATTTTGGGTTCAGGCTGCATTTAGCATTGTTACTGCCAAGGTCTGACACTTCCCCTTCAGGTTGGAGACTTGACAGGTAGCTGATGCAAACTGATTAACATGTTTGTTGATTAATGATCATACTAGAAGGAAATGGGTAGGACAGCAAAATTCTCAGTGATCTAGGCTATCATATACCAGCCTGTAATTAAATAACAATAGAGAGTATTGGGCTTGACTATGAAAGTTAATTATATGTTTGAAGTCCAGTGAAACATGTAAACATGTAATCACAATCAAATTACAATTCTGTTACTGTGGAGGTGCAAATCGATTTCCTCCCGCACTAAATCTGACAGACACAGACCTGATGGTAGGTTGCCCAAGGAGGGTCCCTCCGGCATCCCAGTGGGCTGGGGCACACAGGTCAGCATCACTGCTGTCTGCAGGCATTTGTGCTCCTACTGCTGGAGCATCCTTTTTTTCTCTGCCTGATTTCATACCTTACACCCTATTTTTTCTTATTTTAACATGATTTTTTTTGTCATCCTTGCATCTTCCTTCACCCAAAAAGCTCCCCTCAGCATACCACACCTAATTGCTTTTCTCCATTGGTCCCAGTTTTACTACATCTGCACCCAAATTTTGTATTTCTGGTACTGTGATTTAGGCAATATTGGGCATGTGTGGCTTTACCAACTGTAAGGCTTGGTATGAGTGGCTTTGCACCCCAAAGTTCCCTACTATTGTTCACTTCAGCCTGGTTGGACTTAGTTAATTCCTAGACATAATTACTGTACTTTCGTCTCCATTCCCCTGCCTGGCTCATATTAAGCACAAACAGATTCTCACCATACACACCAACTATTTTCATACCAGGGCAACAGCGTAACTTGTTTTTCACACTTCTGCTGTGGGCTGTCACAGGCCTCCCATAGACCTTGGCTGCTGTGGGGCTGCATGTCCCACGGCACCTCCAGTATGCCAAGGCCAAGGGGATTCTGAGCTCTGGAATGTGCAGGAAGCTGACTGAATGAAGCCATGAGGCACCTTTCAGTGTCAGGACCTCTAGGATGGGGAAACAGAGAGGCACTAACAAGGCTCTTTATAGGGTACAGGAATGTGGGGTAGCAACACAGCACCTCACAAGCTTGTGAGTTACGGTTCAGGGGTGGACGATGCTAGCATGGCTTGACTGCAGTGCACTCATGGATGTTTGATTTCCTGTGATTCCATCAAATAAAGTTGCTTTTTGATGCCAGCTGGTAGTTGCCACAGTGGCTCTGTAAAATGTGAATTGTACCCTTTCACCATCCCTCAAATTCTCCACAAAAAGGCAGCTATATTTCTGAATGGTTTTTAGAATGGTTGAAACCCACAGGACTGTAGCATCTGGCTGAGCTGTATTTACAGCTGATGTATTTCAGGCAAAATTTTCACATATGTACAAAACATATGCAAATAAAATTTAAACTGTGAAGATATGACCATATAATAAAGCATTCCAGTCACCTTTCTGATAGTGCATTTAAGAAATAATATGAACATAAAAAAAAAAATCATAACTAATAGACTCCATTAACCTTCACAATGTCTCTTTTCAAACTAATCACCCAGTTTTCATTCCCATCTTCACATATTTCAATAGATTTCTTTGTCCATTTGTGAACAAACCTACCAGTCTGTCACATGTGAAAAGAAATGTCTGTTTGTTTGACTGGTCTAATGAATGTGATGACAATGTGATGTCTTCAATTAGTTCCAGAGAGGTGCCAGCTTGTAAGTGTGCTTATTACAGAAAAAAAGTAGCCAAATCTAGGACTAGCTTTACATATTAGTGTCAGAGTATATCTAGCTTTTTAATTATGGAGCTTTGTTAATCAAGAGTGTGAACACATAAAAAATTGTGCCATGCTTGAGCAGATGGTTGTGTTGGTGGGGGCTGCACTAAATGTTGTAGCATTTTATGTGGCTTTGTTATGCTTTCTCTGCTCGTAATTTTATTTGAAAGTGTAAATTCACAAACTGAATACCAGAGGTACCTTTCATTTTGCTAAAAACTTCCATGTTTTAGTCCTCTGTTTCTGTTAATTTCTAATGCTTAATAAAGACACATTACAAAACCAATGCATTCAGATAGATGCCAAAAGACATGCCTGTTGGCTAAAGCACAACCCTTCTACAAAGGTTAATATTTGGAAGTTGCAGCAATTTTGAGGCAAGCCTTGGACAGCCAAGATGACCAGAATGATGCTGAAGCCACGGGCTGCGATCAGGGAGAAACCTGTTAGCAACAGTTTTGAAACAGAGCTTCAGCCCCATTTCTGAAAGCTGCAGGCCAGTTCCCATCTGCGCGAGGAGGCAGGTGCTCCTGGTGCAGTTTCAGCTCTTTGCTGAGCTTCCTACACCTGCTCTGGGTTCCAGGCAAGAAAATATATGCTGGAGTCTGGTACAGAGGAAGAGGGATTAAGTTATTTTGCAGGAGACTGAAGAAAGAATCCAAGATGCAACAGTTGAGTGCTCTGAGCCCCAGCCTGACTGTGGTTTACCAGAGGAAAAGAAGAGGACAGCAACCTACATCGCCTCTCACCAGCCCCTGTTATTCGAATTCTGCCTTTTGGATCTACAGCTCAGTGAGGGTCAGAGAGGTTTTCCTATGGAGGAGGAAATCTCCCCATGGCCTTGCAACAGTCTAAATGGGGAGGAATTAAGTGTTTTTCCCTTGAGGGCATTTGTCTGAATTCCAGAAAGCCTGATTGTGCAGAGACTGAAAACATTTTTGCTTTTAAACCCAAACAGGGCTACTTCTTTCTTGAAACACAAGCCAGTATTATTCCACTGTGCAATGAAAGATCAATTCTTCAGGCTGTGAAAATGAGGCTCTTAGATAACTTGGGTGCCAGAGGTCACAAAGGCATCCTCTGCCCCGCTCGGTGCACAGAGATCTGTCTATCTGAGGGCAGCTGCTGGAAACAGCCTTGCTGCAGTTGGTGGAGCCTGTGACCAAACCAATTGAGGAGCAGCTGGTGGGATTTCAAACGCTCTCTGTTTGCAAAGAGAATTCAAAGAATATTTTGAGGAAGAAGCTGGGAATAACAGAACAATGACTCAACAAAAGCAAACTGCGTGGTTATGGCGGTTCTGAAAGGGCAGCATTTACTCTAGTGCAGACAAAGAAGGAGAACTTGGAGTGGTCAGGCATGAAATTCTTTGCAAGTGGGAAGGTAAAAAAAAAAAAAAAAAAAAAAGATCCATCCATGGAGGTCAGGGAAACTGAGCCAAAGGCTTCTTGGAAGGTAGGATGAAGAACGAAAGGAAGCTGGGGAGGGCAGAGCAGCAAGAGACCATCAGTGGTGGGCTGGGGAGCCCAGTGGTCATGAGTTGCAAAGGGAGGCTAAGAATGTCAAATCTGTGTGTGACAACCACAGCACTGAGATGCAAATCGGTGAGTACATTCACAGGATACAGAATAGCCTTAGTGGGTGTGTGATTACTTAAATGCATGCCTGTTTTGTTACATCATGTTAGCACTTGGTGAAATGCTGTGGGAGTGGTTTCAGAGAACCTGCAGTCCACATTGTACGCACTTCAGCAGTTTCATTTCGGACAAGCTTTAGTACCATCCCATACCTTGACTGCTCACTAGCTGCTGGAGTGCCTCCTCCCGTTCAGTTTAATGGGATGCAACCCATTTTATGCAGTCCATTAGGTGAGCCAAACCACAGCGAGGAAAGATGGATGATCATGTGAATGATTTTAGGAGAACATTCCTGGTGTGAACTGAACCAGTGAGCAGGCAGCTGATCAAAAGTAGTGAGTGTGCAAATGAAACTAAAAGTGGAGAAAGATAAGAGAAAAAAGAAAATGGGAAAAGAAAAAGGGGGAGATGAAAGGGTTAATTACCTGTGAAGCTCCAAAAGAAGAGGAGGAAGGAATACCAAAAGGCCTTTATGTTCAAACGTAGCATGGCATGGGGCAGAAATTAATCTGTTTAGAGATCTGTGCCTCTGGTTAGAAAAATTATCTGCTTTTATCATAAATGCATTTGAATTCTCAGCATTAAAAACCCCCTGAATGGCAGAAACAAATAGATACTAGAATAATTGTATTTATGTGCCTTTAATTTTTTCTCCACATCTGGTTTGGATTACTATACTTTTCTTTCTAGTGGTAGAAGATTGTTGAAATGCATTTATCCAATTCTTCCTTCCTCCTCCCTCCCAGCTAATCACTGAATGCAGGCAACATTTTTATTTCTAGCAGAAAATTCATGCAGCATGCATCAAAAAAAAACAGACAGAAATATGCCTCTGCAAATATTTCTGTATGTGCCTTATTATGAGAAGAATTTTTAAAAGTATTGTAATATATCTAAATGCTTATAAAGATATACGGCTGGATCAGTGGCTATTGAAGTGGACTGAAAAACATCTATTGATAACAGTCATGAGATAGAGGTCATGGAAAAACTTAGTATGTTAAAGTTTTTCACAATTTGTGTGCAAGTCTACAGAAAGGAACCGATCACTATGTTCACTGCTGTAGGTTGCTGCATTTCCAATGCAGCCTGAGTTAATTCCACTTCCACTTAGTTTTACAGAGTTCCTCTCGAAGAGTTTTTTGTGCTGCAGCATCTCCAGTTTTCAGAAGTTTGGCTTCTCATTAGGAAACTACTGCAGTACAGAGAAGCAAGACATCCTGGAGCCATCTCACACTTGCTTGTGGGCAGAAATTGTGGAATGCTGAGTATTTTGTACTTCAAATCTTGCCAATGGCTGGAGAAAAATAAAGCCATTATTAAAAACAGCATTGTCATTTTTTCTCCAACAAAAGCAAGACCCATCTGGTTCTTATACTGTTTGAGTCCATGTCTACAAGGTTAAGCAGTGCAGCCTTTGCCGACCTAAGGACAGACTTCAGAACCAGGATATTTTTAGTGTTTCATGTTTGAAATCTGCTTGGTTGTAGGTATAAGGAAGAAAGAGAACCAAAGGCAAGATCTACACATTTCCACAATTCCTGAGGCAGGAGAGCTAAATGCCATACACTACAAGCTGGAACAATGTTGCTTACATTGGGGCAGCACCTCAAGGTTTCAGATTGGTGTGCTGAGCATATCTGAAAAAATAGCTCTGGTGACAGTCATCTGGATAGTAGCTATTTTAGACGGCTTTTTGATGCTCTGGGTTGTTAGCCTTTTTTTTGTTAAGAGATTACTCTGATGAGTACAAATGACTCTACAGGCAGGCAGCTGCAGAGATAAAAGGTGATGAGGTTTATACCTCATCAATCAGTGTTAAGTGATTGTGGTGAGCCACTTGAAGCCAGCTAAAGACAGTCCAGAACAGGAATTATTCAAGGTCTGCTATATTTTAATACTGATTTACTTTAATAAGTGATTTCTATGAAGGAGACATTTTGTTTGCTGTTAAGTTTTCTTAGGACTGTATGATAACTGCCCCTGACAGTCTTCAGGGTTAAAAGGTGACAAAAAACTCTCTTGAAAGTAGAATATTTTAGTTAATAAAACAGCTGGGTTTTATCCCAAGTGCAGACATGTCCCAAGGTCAGTTTGATCCAAGTCATGGCTTGTCAGTAAGAAAGCTAGGCTTTGCTCTAGAAGGGGTACCTACAGCACAGTATTTCATAGCCTTGACGATGTAAACATGTCTTTAATGATCAGCTAATGACAGGATTGCTCATCTGGACACCCTCATCCAACAGTGAAACCCTATGGTGTTCCATAATAATGATCTTTTTTCAGTTAGTGGGGACAAAAAAGACCAGCCTAAGTCTTTCCCTGTCCTTCTCCCCTGCAGTTAAACCCCTCTGTTAAGCACAGAGCCTTGCATGGCAAAAGTGCTTACACAGTCACTCTCAACTCTTTCTGATGTGAGGTGATGTGTATTTCTGATGTCCAGCATCTCTTCTCCCTTTTCTGGGCAGTAGGAAGGGAAGGAGAAATGGAAGGAGAAATGGAAGCAGAAGTGGAAACAGAAGGTAAAGAAAAAAGTAAACAAGGCTCTTTCTTAGTAATTACCTTCCAGGAAATCTACCCTATAACTACTTTGCATTAAGGCACTTAGAAAGCTGAGATGAGAAATGTAAATGATTGTAACTTCCTCACCCCCCCCACAATAAAAAACAAACAAACAAACAAACAACAACAACAAAAACAAAAAAAGAAACAGCTTGTGAACAAAAAAAAACCAATACAACAGAATTCTGATTTTTTAATGGTGATTCAGTTGCTGCCTGTATATGTAACTAAATAAAACCAGAAAATCAATTATTTGTAAAAGCTGTTTCAGTTGAGATTTCTCTGTTTGCCCTTCATTGTCTATACCACAAGTGCTGAACTGTGGAAGTTGTAATGGAAGTAACTTCTCTTAAGCTTTTTGCTTTTGTTTCAAAGCTTGCAAAGGCATTTCTGGCATTCTGTGCTATTTGTTTTTTACGATAAATGTTATGGCCTGTAGAAGTGGCAGTCTCAGTTGCTGAAGAGGCAAACTGACAAACCAAAATTTCTCTGTTCTTTAATCTCAGGCATTCTGAATCCTTGCATGCTTCTGCATGCAGTTCACTATATCCTTGTAACCCATTCAGATACAACCATCACAGAACTAGTTGGACTGGAGCAGCCTCGATGAGACCATCTCCCACTTCAGGTAGTCCATGAAAGTTATTTAGTGAATATAAAAACAGAAACATCTCAGAATGATGTACACCTGGAAAAATATACCAAGAAAACTTTGTCTATGATGTAATACAAGAGTGAATTCCAATATTTTCAGACTAGGATTCAGCTCTTCCGTTGGTTCCTTCTTCTCTGTAGGAGGTTGGGTTGGGATTTCACAGTCTGGATCCTGGTTTGTAAATGAATGGACATCACTTTCAGGGTGCTTCAGATACTTCTCTCCTTACTTTGGAGGTAAGCATAAAGAATCTTTTGTCATGAGCTAGGTCACCTCAAAATCTTCATTAGACAGTGAAGACCTCACTGAATTAATGGTTTAATTGGATTTAAAAGACACATCTCTTTGAATCCAGCAGATTCAAAGAGGATCAGGGGACCATGCATGAATCTGAAAACAATGGAACTTGGTGAGCAAAACCAGTAGTCCCATACTGATTTCCTAGAAACTCAAACTGTGAGACTGTAATCCATAATGACAGGAACAGGAACATCTTGCATCAGCTTCATAAAAAATGTCAACACAAGTATATGTGATTAAAAAGTCATATAGACTTTATACATAAAGAGACTTTGGGGCTGACACTGATTTTTTTTCTCTTCAGATTAAAATCATTTTTCTAAAGTCTCTGACTCAGAGGTCACTAGGGGTTTCCAGTAGCAGAAAAAAACATCTTTTTTGTATCATGTTGTTATGGATGGAAGGAATTAAAGCATTAACACATTCTCTACCTTAATGTGTATGTACTGCATGGCCAGCAAGGATGGAGTAGTGTGGCTGGAGCTTTCTCACTTAAGGTGCAAAAAGGCCTTGGGAACTGCAACTTGAGCTTTGTTCTTCTGTCTCATTTTACGTTCAGTGTGATTTTAAGTCCTTCCCATTAGACTGGTGTAAAAAGGTTGTGTGGCCATCTGGATATGGATAACCAGTGATTAATTTATGTAGCCTGGAAATGTATTTACATAGACATTGGTAATTTAGTCACCCTGAAATCAAAATAAAGTGTCTGGACTCAGATTTGTAGAGCTCTGCTGGAGTTACACCAAGAAGATCTATGCATGCAGGCAGGGCCAACTTATGCACATTTTATTTCATTTATTCAAAACCTTCTACTTTTCCTTAAAGAATTATATTTCCTAGGAAAATTGTGCCACTCTAGATAATCCATAGGGACATCTAGACTAGCTCTGTACTCAAATGCATTCCCCACTCACTTCCATTAGCCCTTTTCACCAGCTGGCACCCACAGTCTTACCTGGCGATAGATTAGCCCACATTTCCACACCTCAGGGACATGAAGAGGTATGCTCCTCTTTAATGAATAATTACATCATATTTTACCTATGATCATGAAATTGGTGCTCTGAGAGATGGAACTATTATTAAACCTAGTAACTTAATTAAAAAAAGGAAGTTGTTCTTTAAGATTCAAGTGAGTCCTTGATGTTTGAAGGAGACAGTCACCTTGGAAAATGTAAGCCTTGTGGTTTAACTGTGTTTTGGAGCTGTACTTACCCTATTCCTTTAGTTTACAAAGAAGTATATTGTGTATTTTTGAAAGTAATACTGGGCCCTTGTTTTTCCTTCAAATGCTGTGGTAGGAATAACTTCACAAAACTCCTAGGACCCGGGTGATATTGCTGTATGTGCAATGAAGAGTTATTGTGCTTTTCTGGATGTTCCTATAGATCCACTCAGTGAAACAGAGTGCAGGCAGAAAAAAATTACTCTGCCCTGCTAGTCAGTGCAT